ATGAGCCCCGAGCTGGACCAAGGGAGGGCGCAATATTCTGAGAAACAGAGGCTCCTTTTGTTGGAAGTGCACTTCGCTGGTTCACAAATGACTACGAAATGTACGTGTTATGGTCGCATTGCTACCAGCAAAATGAACATTCCGGACCATGCTTATGACTATGGTAGGCAGTTACTTTTATTCAAATGTATTGGGTAGCATATTTCAAGGCAGGTGGTTTTGAGAAAAATTTGTCAGCTGGGAAAATGTTAACCTTAGAGACGGCATCAGGCACTTTATTTTTAATGACTGAAAAGCAATAGACATTGCAAAAGATAAATTTGGACATGAGGACATGGTTACAAATGCAACGTTGCTCAGGGTGTCTCTTCAAGTAACATGCCTCTAAGGAAAAGATGTGGAATAAATGCCTTTACATGAGACGAGGACTTGAGTCTAACCCTCGTATGGTGGTGGTTTCTCCAATGGAGTCTTGACAGCATCATCGTAAGTTGGCAACTTTGGAAGCAAAGCCTGGAAACAAGAGAAATTCACATTTTGCCACAAAACAAAACCAAGGGCAGTTTTTACTTTAAGCACAAGTCTATTCAAACGACAGGAATTGTGAGAAAATAAGAGAGCATGAGTTCACTTTCGGCAGTGATATGAAACCTCTGAAAACCCATCTCGAGAAAAACAGCAATAGAGTAGTTAGACTTTGAATTATAATTTATCTTAAACTACATCTTTCGTTAGATAAGATTGATTGGACCTTACCTCAGCATCCATGGCATAGTTGTTGGAGTTCACATTGTCACCGGTCTCACGGGACTGGATGTACTTGTAGCAGGACCAGACACAGGCAATGCAGTAGGCCTAACATTGAAACAAAATTGAAACATTTGTGACGCAATTAGCTGAAGACAAACAACAAAGCCACTAATCCTTACCCTAACCAACCCTCCAGCCTACTTTGATTAGAAACCCTGCTAGACGCAGCAAATTGCATCATTTGTCAATGTGGCTTACCTGCCCAGAGTAACAAGATCCAACGGGTCAACTCTCCTCAAGGCCAAACAGCCTAGGAGTCT